TAGTTAATACGCTGTTAGTGCAAGGTTGAATATTAGGCTTCAACCCTGTGAAGTAGGAGTGATGCTGTTTGTAGAAGTAAGGTTATTAAGGAGGTTGTAAATCATGTATAGGAAACTCCTAGCACAAAGACTGTTAAAAGCCCTGAGCAAATGCTCCTATAACACATGCCATCAAGTCATTGTGACTCTGTGGGCCAGAGTGGAAAGGCCCGTAGCGTTTCTGAGGCAGTAATCTTTATGGAAGCTGGCTGTCATGTCTCTCTCCCCGACAACAGCTAACAGATTAGAACTGCTGATGATTCATCAAAGAGCTTTACTCACTGTTTCACCAGGGCTTCTTTTAAACAAAGAGCAAGTCTTGTTAACTCATTTAAGTGGTAGTATGGCAGGGCCAGTGAGAGTCTTGATGGGGAAGTATGAGCTGCAGACTCCCATTACAGGGATGTTCTCATGTGTTTGTTCTGTGCTGAGACAGAAAGAGCCATTTCTCCTTAGACAAACTTCTCCTCCTGTGTCCTGGATGGCAATAGAAAAGGAGAGTGAGGAACATTGAAAGGAAAGCTCTTGCACCATAGTAATACTTTTTTCCTGAAACTACCACAAAAATAAAATCTGTAAAACACAAACATTTTCCACTTATTTATCAGTTTAGAGTTTAATGTTAGCTAAGAGAGCTTTGTAATACTCAAAGCATCTTTATGTGAAAGTTCATTGTCGGCATGTTTTGCTTTATTTTTTTATTTCAGGGTTCCAAGAGAAGAGAGAGTGATCTTAACTTTGTTGAGTAGTAGTCAATCTCAGTTTTCCAGGAAGCTTGGATGTAACACTGATAATTTCACTGATAATTCAGTGAAAGTGCCGTGGCCCATGAGCCTCGGCCAAGTTTCTCCCTTTCCAATTTGGCAACAGCAATGTCCTATTTCTTGATCACTCTCGTGGAGGACTGGCGTGGCAGCGGTCACCTTGCCTAAGCCCCCTTCCTGTGGCGATGCTAGTGCGGACCTTGTTCGCCAATGAACTTTCCTCCCGGTTCTTGGCTGGGCCCCTTCATACACCTCTAGTTTGGGATTTTTTTTTTATTTATTTCATTTTTCCTGGACTGATTTTCTCCTATTAGTCGTTGAAAAGAATTCCAGGTATGTGGAGAGCTCTGAGATGTTTGTTATCGTGAAATTAATTAAATAAGAGACAGTTTTATTTTAAAAAATATCAGTAATCCATCTGTATACGTAGAATAATAATAATTAAAGCGAAATGGATGTGAGTTTGTCTTACCGAATTTAATATCACATATTAAATGCCTCACAGAAAATTGTACTTTGAAGTGTTTTGTTCAAGAAATTGGCAAAATAGTTGGCTGAAGAAAAAATAACAAAGCAAATCATTCAGGTTATTAAAGATTAAAATATTAAAGATAAATTGAAATACAAACATTATAAACCCTGTTTTCATAAAGATTGTCTTACACCTATGTTGTTATATTAAAAAAAGAAACCTGTCCAAAATAGTGGAAAATAAAGTCTGTCTTGAGCAAATTCATTCTTTAACCCTTCCATTATTGAGTGTTCTCGTATTTAAAATGTAAGGATTTGAAGTTACTGGATAGAACCTTTGGTTGCTTCTAACTCTAAGAAATAGAGTTCTGCCTAAAATTTAGGTAAATAATGTGTAGCTTTGGTGACCTAGTGGTAAGAAGCTACACTGCAACCCTGAAGGCACACAGTTCAAATATGCCTGCTATTTCACTGGAGAAGGATGGGCAGGCTCCTCGCGTTCGATTAACTGCCTCTGAAAACCCAGAGTGGGGGATCAGCTCTGGGCCGGTTCTGACTCGATGATACTCAACAACAACAGCACATTTTGTTAGGTTTCATGGAGTCAGTTGTGACTCAAAGCGACCCAGTGCATTGGAGAAGTGCCCTTCTAGGGTTGCCTACGATGTCATCTCCACAGAAAATCTCCAACCTCCCAGCAATGGATCACTTCTCTGTTAAAACGCCATGGCTCTACAGAAAATTATATAGAGAATTTAAATTTAAAAAGTCACTTTGGAAATGAGAGAATAGGAATAACAACAAAATAGAAAGGAAAAGCATTTTACCTGATCTGTGAAACAGAGGAAGAGAATCATAAAATTATTTAATAATTTCTAAAATATTTCTTTTTAATAAAATAAACCTATAAGCAGCGATCTATTTCTTGTTAGTGAAGAATTGCCTCCTATTTAAAGACATTTTAAATGCCTCCTGTATCAGGGGAGCTCTGGTGGCCGACTGACAAGAACCTGTACTGCAATCCCAAAGGCAAGTGGTTCAAAACCACTAGCTACCCCACGGGAGAAGAATGGGCATTCTCCTCCTGTGCAGTTTACTTAACTGCCTCTGAAAACCCACTGGAGAGATAGAGCTAGGGCTCAGTTCCAACTTGATGGTACACAACCACAGCATTGTTAGAAAAGTTGAAATCACATAGCATCAGACCAAGCCTACTTCCTCAGGCTGGCTGATGCCAAATTGGAGCAACTCTCTTCCAGGGATTTAAGGCTGTAAATCTTATGAGAGGAGACTACTCTTTTTGTCACAGTGTGGTTGGTGGCTTCCAACCACAACCATGCAGTTAGCACTCCTTGGCCAGAACTCCTTACGCAATTGTATATAATCTAAAGAAATTTTAAGCCCATAGATATTGTTTCTTCATTAATTTGAAATAAATGGTCTCACTCTTAGATTTGTTTTAAATTTGACCACTTCATAACCAAAGTAGTCTCCTTTGAGATGACAAAAATTAAAATTTCCTCTCCACCTTAAATATCAAAAGACATACCTGATAGCCAAGAGGATGAAAGATGAACTTTTCTAGATATCCTCCAATGATGTTTACATAATAATAGCTCCTTACGTGCTTGGCCACCAGATCTCCTATACCTAATACACATGTTTAACTATATTAGGATATATAATTAAAACTAAAATCTACCATGTGAAAAGTTACTGATTTAAATGGTTTTAGAATATCAAGTGATTTAATAATATGAGTAAGAATATTTTCATTTTTATGTAGTAAGTACATTTACCTCTGCTATTAGGCATAATAAATAGTACATTTAGGTTATATGACTCTTGACTGACCAAATAGATACCACCTTATTAATTCAAGTGGTAAATTGCTTTGATTTACTATACTACCATTAGAATGCGATGATATAATGTCTAGTTCCCCTTTTCCTGGGTAGTAGGGATTTTAGCGTACCCTCAAGATTTCTTTAAATACATTTGGTAGTATTTTCTAGTGATTCGTTGATATAATTCTCAAGAAAACACTGGATTTTGTGTGATAAAAACTTCAGGTTTGGGGTTGTTTGGAGATTTGAGCTTAAGTGTGTTCCATGCACCTGAAAAAGATATTTGAAAAGTGATGCCTTCTTTTATTGTAAGCCCTGTGGAAATACTGAGCTTGGGAACAAATTGCTGTTTATACATTTAAAATGTGAAGTAAATTTAAAAAAGAACAAAAAACCAACCCATGAAATACAGGGCTTATGTCCCTCCGTGACTTTGGAACATCCTTGTTTTCAAAAGTGTGAGCAGGTCTCTCTGGTTTGTTTTTGTTTTGTTTCATCTCCAGGACCTCCCAGTTCTCAAGGGCACAGAGGGACATGGGCAGCATTTATTTGATGTATGCCTGCCTGCTCTTATGTGGATGCATTTTTTCCCACATCTGTCTCCTCGGACTTCTCCTTTGTGAAATCCTAAACCTTGTATTAATGCTTAGTTTGGGATCCATGGTGTTCTGAGAGCAATTATGTCTTTTTTTTTTTTTTTTTTAGCATTTTTATTCGGTATGTTATTTTTGTTGTTGTTCTTTAATGGAGGGAGTTATTTTTTGGTAAGCCGGCAGTTGCCTTTTTATTGGTGAATTTTTCTTTCTTTTCCTGTGACCTGTAAATATCACTGCAGGCTCACTGCCAAGTCTCTGAGCGGCTGCCGGCTTCAAAATGGAGGCAGGAAGGTATCCATTTTCATGAAGAGGATGACAGTGTTTCAGTCTTTCCGACCATCTGGAGAGAGGAACTTTTGGAGCAAAAGAAAATGAGGATTAAAAAGAAATATATATATAAATATATATATTTAGCAGAAAAGGCAAGGGGGAAACCAATTAAAGTTAAGCTATACCTTATGAATTTGTGCTTTTCTAGAATTCTGTCTTGTTTAAAGGAAACTTAAACAAGAAAATGCGCAGGCTATTTTTATAAAGAACTGGTTCTCCAAGTCTCACGAGTATTAGTAAACGAATGGGAGTAAATTAGGGTTTTGGCACACTTTTTAAGTTTACTGCATGCACAAATATAATAAGCACTAAAAAGGCAGGCTTCCCCTGTCCTGTGTGCACACTGGTTGTTGGTGGTCTCCTCTAGAGCCAGGCTTTTAATGGCCTTTTTCATGCATTTCTGCAAAAGGCTGACACTAGGGGAATTTAATATTCTAAGACAAATTTATCATCTTCTGTGGTCTGGATGATATATTCATTCACTCATTCTCTCTCTCTCTTCCTCCCAAAAGATGAGTGAAAATTTCTTTTTCTTTCTTTTCTTCTTTTTTTTTTTTTGCTTAGAGAAAGAGATTTGATGGGTTATGTGATCATAGGTGACTTGCTTTTTTTTTTTAAGTACGCCTAAATGCCTCAGGACTCCCTGTCCCCTCATAATGCCATGTTACTGCTAGACATAGTTGGAGTAACCTTAACCTGTGAGTGAAAAATATCATACCTGGTTATTGTTTCCTCCTTAAAGTTGCCTTTTCCATCCACACAAATCCACGGAGCCTTTCCAGCTCTTGTTTCAGGTTTTGGATTCTGAACGTTTCTAGGATTGTGTCTAGGATATTCTCAGGTCTCGATGGCGTCAAACTGCGCACCTTTTTCCTCCTGCACCGGCAGTAGTAGGCTGTAGGATACTTGGGGTCAATGCAGAAGGCAAAACTAACTCGGTCCTCTTTCCTCAGGTTTATGCCCCATCAGCAAGCACTGCCGACTATAATAGAGACTCGCCGGGTTATCCCTCCTCAAAACCAGCAGCCAGCACTTTCCCTAGCTCCTTCTTCATGCAAGGTAAGGCGTTCCTTCCTCTAGGGACAGTCTGCGGGGCAAGGCTTTTCCTCCGTCTCCTAAGATCACGCAGGAGACAATATACTGTGTGCTGATAGCCAGTAAATACCCTGTGAAAATCCAGAGGATGTGTTCTTCTTTCAAACAGAATTCATTAAACGTAAATCAGTTAAAACTTGACTAAGGCTTTCTCTTACCGAGCAGTGAGGAGTCAAGACCAGACCAACCTCCTTCATTTAGAGCTGATGCTATTGGGTGATGGTCTTCCATGACTAATCATTTTAGCTGAATCTCCTAGAAGCGGGAGAGTCTGCATGGCAGCTCAGTGTTCATTTTGAGCCTCCTGGACTTCACGGAGTGGAAGCAAGGCATCCTCTTCTATGCCTTTCTATCAAATCTTTAGCTAACTCTTGTATAGATGAACACGAGTCTCATTTAAGATGATGTGATCGGTCTAAAGATTGGATGATATTTTATTACAAAATATTTGTTAAAGGAAAGCCTTTATCCCAGCATGCTAGCTACTTTGGATTAAAAGACCTTTTACTGTTCTGGGTTTTTTGTTTTTTTGTGGGGTTTTTTTGTTTGTTTGTTGCTGTTGTTTTTTGTTTTGGGGTGTGTTTTTTTTGTTTTTTTGTTTTTTGTTTTTTTTTTTTTTAGGAAATGTAAAAAATTGCCACTTCATACTAGGTTAATAGAGGTCTGTTTATTGATTTAAGGTTAATGCAACTGGATAAGTGGTCCTAGAACTTGGAGTCTTGTCGTGGGTTAGAGAGTCCATTTTTACTGCTTAGAAAACACCAGGCTAGTCCGGCAAGAGCTCCTTGTAGGAATGGACTGTTCAAATGGTCCACTAAGGACTACATTCCTGATATGCCCCTGGCATTTGTGTTTAAATGTGGTAATCATTTGCCAGGTGATGATTTGTTTAAATGTGATGGTCTCTTTGCCAAGTTCATAACCTGACACTCGCCAGGAAGCCCAATATACAGAAGTTTCACCCTGTGTTGCCTGGTTTTGAACACCTGCTGAGGTGTGTGCCTTCAGAGCTCGGTGAGATGAGAATCCCTCCTTCGGGCTGCTCCAGGAAGGGATGTGTCCACACTGAGACACGCCCTGCAGCCGGGGACACCCATGGAATAGCCCAGTGTCACTTAGATTACAGTAGACACTCTTCACGTCTTCCGAGTAAGAGTTTCTCTTTCCCTTCAGAGCCTAGCTCTTTCAGGTCATAAGTTCACATGTGAAATTCTATGGAAAGTCTATAAAAATTATCAGATTGGTCCCTGGAGAATAAGCGAGAAAATCCACCCGTCATGAAGTTAAATTCTGACTCAGAAGAGACCCTGGAGGACAGAACAGTAGTGGCCGTAGGATTTCCGGAGCAGAATGGATTAGCTGAAACCAACCACGCCATCTCTGTCCCATGGAGCAGCTTGGGGGAGGGGGAGGTTGTCTAACTGCAGTAGTCCAGTGCTTTACCCACGCACCACCAGGGCTCCTTCTGTCTGTCATAAAGCTCATGTCCACAGGGATCCTGTACCTCTGTGGCCCATCCTGGGTGTGACACTCAAGGGGACACGGCAGGATATGTTCCATGTGTTCTTTGCTGTGACGGGTGCTCTGAATAGCATTCCCTCCTTTTGTGAACATGGGAGAAATAGTGCCGCTAGAGTTTATAGAGGTTGTCAACCCAAGAATCCATTGCTTTAAAACTGAAAATTGGCACCAGGATAGATTTTGTCTTATCTACTGTCCAGGGGGTTTTGGGGGAAGGGAAGAGCTTACTTGATTTTTGCAAACCACTAGGGAGGTGTGGTAAAACAATGAGGTCTTGTCCATAGCAGACTCTAGGCAAAATGTGGAGCGCATATTTGCCAAAAGGGGAGAAAAAAAAACCCCCTCCATTTTGGGGGGTTGACATTTGTGATGAGCACAATTAATTTGCACACATCTAATTCTATTCTTTCAAAACAACATTATGCTAAGATCATAGGGATGTGATAAATATTAATTTCCTGGGAAAGCATAATTTATGTAAAATATGTATTTTATAAGTCTGCATTGAGCAAAATATTCTGTGTTAACAAATCCTAAGTGTATTGCCACGTACCACATCACCCTGTCACAATGTTTCAGGAGGCTCTTGTTCAATGATATATGTTCTCATTGTATTTGTCATAAATGCCATCTTTTTAAATGTTTGTGGTCTTGAACTTTGGATTTAAGGTGACATCTAAACTTCTGTTATCTAAGGGATAAATCAAAAGTCCATCATCTTTTTGTTGTTATTTTTGTTCTTTTTAAGTTCTGGATTTTAACATTATGGCCATGAAGCCAGAACACAGCATGGTCCCATTTCACGCTAGATTCCTTCAGTAGAAAGGTACACGATGCCCTGAAAATTCAGGTCTTGAAGGAATGTGCAATTAAGGGGAAGATATTCAGAGACTGTCTGGAGTTTATTTTAAACTCACTACTGTGGCCTCTTATTTTTATCTTCAATTTCCATCTTCTAGTTAAAACTAAGTTGTCAAAATCACAGACATGATTTTGCTTGCAGCGTTCTTAAAGAAAGAAGTCTCCAGATAGTCCTCCTTGTTCTGAAAATATTCCAGTTTTCTGAATTCTAACTTCTCAATTTAGAAACAGAGTGGAAAAAAAGAGCTGCATGAAATACAGTGTCAGATTTAACTTGCCTGTTGCCTAAATTTTTAAAAAAGATCTTTATTCAATACAATGTTATGCTGAAAATAATTTTCTTTCCAAAGCAGTGCATGGGATACATTAAACAACCAGTCTGTAACCTGGTATATGTATCCAGCACTCAATAATTTTTGTGTAACTAATGTAACAAGGAAAAAAATGAGCAGATTCAGCAGTAATGTAGATTGCTTTCTCCTTAAATTTGAGAATCTAAAACCAAACTAGAGCAATCTCTTAATACTCTCCTTTCAGCCAACAGACCCACAGAATGAAAGGAATCTCTTAGGAGTATTTTAAATATAGTATTAACAAAGGATTAAGAGTAGATTTTTGTAAAATGCTTTTTAACTCCTAAACAAAATTTTATAAAATTCATAGGCTTTCAAAAGGGAATGTAGCCTCATAGTCACTTTATGATATGTCTGCACTTCGGAGAAAAGCACCACACTGGAAAAGGTGGGGAGTCAGAAAAAGAGAGGAAGGTTCTCAACAATGTCACTTAACCCAATGACTGTAACAATGACTTGAAGCATGCTGGAGATCATGACTTTGGAGCAGGAAACTAAGACAAGGCTCCAGTCTGTTGTTTCTAGGCTGTGAGTCCTGACTCAATGACCCTTAACAACCACAACATCCACTTCTACGATTACTGATGAACCTGAGATTAGACGTTAAGATGCCTACCAAAAGAGGTTAGGGCAAACAAAACAAAACCTACATTCCATAAAATAATTTCTTTTTTCTTTGTTTTCTTAGTGTGTACGTGACGCAAAGGAAATCTTAGCTTTTAAATCTGAGGGAGGGATTTTATTTGACTTTTTTTTGTTCTTTGCTTGGTTTTTATCTATTTGCCTTTAAAACTGTAAACTTTATAACATCTCAGCTATTTCATATTCACCTGAAAGTTTAGGAAGACTTTAACCTTTCAAGTGGTTGTCAAAGAAAAAATAAGCAAGGACATCTCTAAGAATGATTTTCTTTAGCGTTGGTCACCTTGCTGGCTCGACAGGGCTCTATGTGAAAAGCTACCCTGTTCTTTGGCCGTTGAATTTTTACAAAGAACATTTTAACTGTGTTAAATATTTGTCTTGTTTGCCTAATAACGTAGAGCCACTGAAGGGCAAAGAGTGATCGCTGCCTTCTGATGTGGCCAGCTAATCGGCAATGAAGCAAATCCACTGCAGGCAGTGTATGAAAAACCCGTCTTCGCTACAGCAGGCTGAGTGCCTCAGCAAAGTCCTGGTTTTCTTTGTCCTTTACAGATGGCCATCACAGCAGTGACCCTTGGAGCTCCTCCAGTGGGATGAATCAGCCTGGCTACGGAGGAATGTTGGGCAATTCTTCTCATATTCCACAGTCTAGCAGCTACTGCAGCCTGCATCCACACGAACGTTTGGTAAGGCAGTGGTGCGTGGCGACGGAGGGGAACCCCGTGTGTTCACTCTCATCCCCTTGTCCACCTGATCGCACACCGGATTCTGTAAAATCCTCGGAAAAATGGTACATGCCCATTATCCTTTCAGCTTCATTGTTCTGTGATCCAAGCTGTAATCCCATCAGGTCACTTCAGAAACCCTTCCAGATTCTCTCTCGTCATTGTTCTTCTGTTTATTGTGTTTTGTGCCTCCTTTATCACAGTGTCTGCTTTCTTTGGAGCATAAGCACACAACAGTATTTGAGTCAGGAGATTTCTTCAGTCATGGCTCTTCCTTGTTCTTTTCTCTCGGTAGTTTTGAAGGGCATCTTCAGGAGAAAAAATGGTAGACAGTGATTGTCAGGAGAAAGAAATAGAGATGGGATAGTGGTATCATGTACAAGCTTTTCCGTTCCCTCTTGACAAGTGTGTTGCTAAAGGCAACTTTGACCCATGTGACTTACCCAAAGCGGAGAGCCCATGCTTTCTGCTCCTCTCATCTGCAACCACAATAGTGGCATGCACCATAGATCAGCTGTCTAGTTTCCAAAACCTGAGCTTTCTTCTAACATCCCTTTCCCCTTCAGTTTCCTGCTGATGCTCTGTTTTGCCTCATTCCAGTTGAAAACAGCTGGTCCATGAAATATCATCTTCCTTTGTCTCTATTCACTCTGCCCATCACCAACGCTCAACCATCCTGTGTATGTCTCAACTAGAGAACAGGTCTCACAGGGCTTTGTATTCTAGCCACCTCGCACTATAGAGTGCAATTGTGAATTTAATCTCATTAAGCAAAGGAAAGAGATCTTCTAGATGTACACCGTGGGAGCAGACAAGATGAGACTTGACTTCTTTGTGCAGTAATGTTACTTGAGAAATGCATGGTCTCCTACGTCTACAAGTGGAAAGGGAATGGCAAGTCCAGTGAGCCTTAGCAGCATTTATCACATCGCTCTCATCACGCAGTTTTCCGTTTTCTCTTCTACCAGTTTCTGTATGTACGTTTCTCTCTTCCTAGATTAAAAAAAAATACTTGAAGAATTTTTGTAATTGTTTTTCTAAAATACTACCGACGTAGAAAAGGAATGGCATCACACATTGACATCTGAAAGAATTCCAGAATTTAAAATTGCTGAGAGCCTTGAAACTATTTCTTTTATCAGTCCTCATGGTGAGGATCCAAACTTATGGTCAGTTTAGCCTTTCTGTTCCTGAGAGACAAGGTATGGAGGGAAAGGGAGACTTGGTCTTTTTGTGTCGTTGCCCAAGTATGAATGCGTAGATCACAGACTCTCCGGTTTGAGCACATTTTCAGGAAATGGTGGATAATTTAACCTTTATGTTTACACTTGCTACCACTTCCCAGCCCTAGCTCCCATTTGGAGGTACGAGAGTAAAAGGAAGAACTAGGAAATAGTGACTGGAATTTGTGGGGAACATGGTAAATCTTTGCCATCATTTTCCTCATTCCTAGGGAAGTTCAGGGTGTTGAACCAGCTCAGTCACGGTTAGCAAAGAAAAATCAGAACAGCCTTGAAGTTTTAAAATTTGGTTGATGTGAAATGGGAAACAATGATAGCTTAAAGCCTTGGAATGGGAGAATTAGAAGAGGTATAGTGAGCCCGTTGGGATGGGAGAATTAGAAGAAGTATGATGTGCCCGGATAGGAACCTGATGCCAGAGATTGGATTCTTCACAGGACTGTATACAGTGTGACACATTCAGAGCAGTGTGGTTGGCCGCCATCTTTGAATGGGGCACTGCTGTTTCCAATGCTGCCCAAATCCAGTGGGGCAGGGTTTTGGTTGCTATGCAGTATGTACTCTACCCTTGTTTTCTAAGAGAGAAATTAAGTTTCCAACCGAACTGACCCTTGGTTTTTCCATTTCTTTTATTATCTGGATGCAGCTAGTTTTGCTTCCTTTGCCATGACAGAACCAAGAAGAACCTGTTCAAAGCCTTGCTTATGGTCAAAGTTATACATCCAGTGACTGGCAACATTCAAAGGATTTTTGTTCTATACTTGTACATTTGAATGTCAGTCCTTTTAAAAGTTGTCCCTTTGAGGTTTTTTTCCCTTTCTTTCCCTTCGGTCATAATGTCTTTTCTGACATGCTTCAGAATTTTTAGTTAAAGGATTTGATTTTATCCCATTCATGTCCCCTTGCATAAGCACTGTCTTTAAAATGTTCTAAAATGCATTTAAAAGCCGTGATTTTGTAAAGGAAGCCAAATACATTCAACTGAAGAAAAGTTTTATTGAGCCATAACTCTTATAAGCCATCAAGAACCAAGATTTTGAAGGAATAATAGAGAAGGTTACATAAGACACTCTATCTTTAGTGTCATTTATCCAGCACAAACTCAAAGGTTTCTTGCTTTCTCTGATCAGTTGGCAAATTCTTTAATTAGGAAGTTTTGTATTAAAAAAAAAAAACCAAAGAACTATGATATCTAGCCAGGCATGTACAGATGGATAGGAAAACTTCATATTATTTTATCTAGTAATCATTATCATTTTAATATCTAACCATCTAAAAGTATCTCACTGAAGTGACTTTCAAGAATCTGAAACTGATTGAAAGTAATTTGAATATGCAGAGAGAAGTCAGTGTTCATTCACTTGAAAATAATAGTCAAAGTGTCTTACCTTTTTAGTCCATCCGGACAAAGAGATGACTTGACAAAAAGAACAGGGCTTCCCCAGAATTATTTTATATGTAATATGGCAAGCTATATTTGTTCTGAGAGTAAAGCATATTAGCAATATCCTCACCCTCATAATTTTAAACCATGTTATAACCCAGTGAATAACAAGCTTAGAAGAGTTTTACAGTTGCAATTTCTATGACACAGGCTAATCACTGTTCTGTTGCAGATACAAATCTGAAGTCATTCAGACCATGACGTTTGAGGTTAAACTTTGAAATGGTTGTCTGTGGAAGAGTTAACGTTAATAGTGACTTGGTAGAGTTCTTTTTTGCCAATAGCCTCTGAACCCTCGTTGTCCAGCATGAGGTCGAGTATAGTCCTTAGACCACGTATAGTTTGCCTGTAGAATTCTGCTGTCAAGGAAGTTCTGTGTTTTGTTTCAGGTTTAGTTTTGTTGTGTTTTGTTTTTCTTTTCTTTTTTTTTTTCCTGTAACATAAACCATTTTCCCAGTGATTGCCAAGTGAGCATGTTTTGTTTTCTCTTCTGCCCTTCCAGGGATAGTCAGAATTATCTAGAGATATTTTTGATTTTCACAACTAGGAAAGAAGGGCAGTGTTAGTGGGTAGAGGCCAAGGATATTGGTAGACATGTTAAATTTCACTAGACAGCCCCTTACAACAAAGAATTGTCCTGCAGAGAACATCAGTCATGCCAAGACTGTGAGACCCTCCCTAGCCCAAGGCATGATTTTATACTGAGTCTGTGCTGTCAGTTGTCATCACTTGAATCTTTAAAATATGAACCCTGTGGTTGATAAGAGCATCACTAATAGAACCAGCTGAGACAGACATTGATTGGGCAGCATGTAAGGCCATCTCCCACAGTTCACTCTGCTTTCCCTCGAAGCAGGGCAAATATCGTGTCACTAGTTGAAGTGAAAAGAAATGAGAAGAACATCTTACACTTGATCCCAAAATCTTAAAAAGAAGTTCCTCACATAACACTGATAAATCTCTGTGGTGCATTTATGACATCTTTGAGTGTCAGTGGTTTTCAAGATACTTTTCATTCTAAAACAATCTAGTAGTAAATCTCATTCATCTCTGACAGCATCTAATTTTTAGTGAGTCTAAAAAAACATAACTGATTTATGTGGATTACTTTGGTTTCCCTATTAACAGCTGTGGAGATTGCTTTTCTTGTTCTCTCAACTCTGTGTTAACTTTTCCTCTCTCACATCCAGCATTACCACCTATTTCTAAAGAGGATAAGAAAAAAAAAAAAGTCTAAAAAGTCTCACTGAATGTGATGACTTTCCCCCTGTTGTTTCTTCTGATTATTATTGCTATTTATTTTTTCTTTATTTTCCTCCTTTTTTTATTTGTACATACTTTGGCCCAATTTATAAACTTTTTCTATTCTTAAGAATAATACTTCACTGTAGAACTTTGTTGTAGAGGTTAAGTCAAGCTATCTCTTTATTTTCCTTTTTCTTTATTCTGCTGTTTTTTTTTCTCCACTTGATCAAAAGTTTTAGCGTTAAAGCAGAAGTACCACATCAGAGGTACCACATCTTTTCTTCTTACCACTTTGGTGTTCCCTGGCTTATTTAGTCTTTGTGTCAGCTGTCTACCCTGGAATGGGCTTCCTCTGTCCTCAGAAGACAGACTTGCTGATTTGCCTTCAGAACCCTATGGAGTAGTCCGGTGCAGATTGGGTTGGCGCGAGTCAGAACTGATACATGGCAACTGAAGAAAACAACTTAATTCTATGTAGAAAATTTTGTGCAGTACAGGGTAGTTCCTACGTTAAAAATGGAAATTGGTTCACTTGATGTCCTCAGAAAATTTTTGGTCAAGAAAAGAGAACCAGGAAGTGGAAAAAGTTTGAATGTCATCATCTCAGAAAATTGGACAAGTTGAAGGCATTATCTCAACTTTTCACTAAAGTCCTTCATATTGGATGAGCGTGGGGTGTGATATTTGAAATGGTGTTAAATAGCAGTACCAGCTGTAAAATATAAACTCATATTATAGACTCATTGTCTCTCAAGTAATATTTCAATCCACTGCTTTAAATACCAACTAATAACTAGTTGCTCATTGAGAATGTAATTTAACGATATGCTCGGCCCTTGGCCACAAGTTGTGGAATAGATACAGTGCTCTGAACTCTACCTCCCTCTACTGAAGTGGTTTAGAGTTGGAAATGCTCTTAAAGGAGAGATCAGTTTGAAGGAGCAGATAATTAAGTGTTATATGTCACAGTGCATAGTGTCAGAGCATTGAGGATTCAGAGAAGTGGAGGAAGAGTTGCAAGAAGTAAGAGAAGCTTCCACAGGTGGGACACCGGGTGGATCTCACACAGTAACTGAGACACACAGGAGCCCACGTTTTTCACTCTGTGGTAACAGATAGCTGAACTCTAAGCACAACTGACTGTCAGTACCATATTCAGTCTTTAATTTTAAATCCCAGCCACCTTAACTGTGTCTCTAGTAGGAGCTGATAAGGCTCCATTATCACATTAGTATAGTGCATGTTGTTGTTGTTTGATGCCGTCGAGTCGTAGACGACTCATAGCGACCCTATGAACGAACGGACTGAGCACTGTTCGTACATAGAGTTTCCGGAGGCAAGCCATTTCAGAAGTGGATGCCGCTCCTGTTTCCAGGCTTGATTTAGTCGGGAAGCTCCAGCCAACACTGTCCACCATGGGTTCATGGTGCATACACAGAATATATGTTTGAACATATTTTTCTCATGTGTATTTGTAACATATTCAGATGCTTATGAGAACAGTTGCGTAAGCTACTTTTTGTCTTGAAACGGATGAGTCTTGGTGAGAAACTATGTCTTGTCAGTTATTTACCAGTTCTCAAGAGAGTTTGGTGACCAGACACCATAAAGGTGGTGGCGTATGCTGAAAGAAAAGTAGCTTATTCAAACACCTGGCATAATAATTGAACTCGAATCAGGCCTTAAGTCAGGTGATTCCGTAAAGATGATGTTCATAGTTCATAGCCAGCGGTAGTGTGGATTCCTAATGGAGAGGCCTTGCAGAAACTGCAGTTCAAAGCAAGTCATTCTCAGGCCATTCTGTTAATAAAATTAAATATAGCCATTGATTTAAAGCTTTCTATGTTGACCCTTTAGAGAACTGTTTAATGGTGCCCTTTTAAAAAAAAAAAGAGAAATTTTAAAATTGTTTTTTCCCTTGGCTCTTACTGATGTTTGGATGCTTAGACCTAACAGAATGAATGATATGAAAGGCGGCTAATATTTTTTACTTAATATCTAAGGTAAAGGAAAAAGATTCTATAACCATATAGATTATGATAGTGTTTTCCTTACTAGATAGTGAAATCACTTATCAATAACTCATTACTCCTCCCAAAGAAAATAGTAAAGAGCCCCTTTTATGTTGTTGGGAGGTCATTTTCATGAATTTTTTTTTTTTTTTTTAGATTTAGAGATTATATTGGTGCTTGTCTCTCTCTTGTTGCAGTTGTTATTTCGCTACATTTGAGGCAAATCCAAGCTGTCTATATATTTTATTATTTGAACAATGATAGCTCTCAGCTCTAAGTAAGATATATTTTGAAAGCCTACAGGCTGTCGTCACTGAAAGAGTTCAGGAGGCAATGTTGGCAAGTTAGCCCACTGTGATTTGTTATGACTGACGGCGGCCTCCTTTTTCTGCCCCTTGCTCTAGACCTATCCATCACACTCCTCAGCAGACATCAATTCCAGTCTTCCTCCAATGTCCACTTTCCATCGCAGTGGTACAAACCACTACAGTACCGCTTCCTGCACACCACCTGCTAACGGGACAGAGAGTATTATGGGTAAGTCGGGGCTGTGCTGGTTGTGACATTGATTGATAATCAGTAGCGAGGTCAGTGATGAAGGTGTTCCTTTCCCTCTTATCACTGACAAGCATGGTGTACTGGGTGTTTGTAAAAAAAAAAAAAAAAACCATCAAGTGGATCAAACATGAAGAGCCTTTGGCTTCTTCACCAGAACTGCTTTCTTTGTCATAAGGAATAGAAATTTGGCCATTTATAAAATGCAGGTCATTAGATTGAAGAAGATTCAAAGTAGACCCAAACTCCCTTGCTTCTTACCCTCTCTAACAGTGGGCAAAGTGAGTTTTCCTATAGACAAACCACCTAAGTCTTCTAAGACAGCAAGCTTGCTAGCTTTCAGTAGACAAGTAATCATTGACCTCCGTATTCCTGTCACTATATGAAGCTTGGAGGCTTGTCAGGCCACTGCGTCCAAAGACTGGTTTGCATGAGGTTCACAAATGACTGAGAATGACTAGAAGAGCTTCACCTTCGGAATATGGGACTTCTGGAATTTTCCAGAGGTGAAGTGGAAAGGAGTTAATGAGTGTCAGATGTCAGTAGGTCAGAGATTCTCCACAGCTTTTCCTCAAACAAATGGACTCATGAGTTAAGGCCCACCAGGGATGTTGCTACCATTCTCCCCTCATCCTTCACATGGTTCATGGATCCCTGACCAGCCCCCACTTGTCAAGTTGTTTTTGCAAATCATGTTACTGAGATGCACGGCACAGCTTGATTTTCCAGTAGTGCTAAAATCAGACTATGCAGGTTCTCGCTCAGGCTGTACTTTGCTTGGCCTGTTAGCATGTCCTTCAGAAAGGTTCCTGATAAGACCCCTGAGGGTGTTTTTTATAAGAAAAGGTTTTGGTGTTTATCTCTTATAGTGCTTCCCTATGTTTTCCTTTGTATTAGATAGTCTGTAGAACACTGGAAAGTTGGGTGAATCGTTTATGTGGGAGACTTTATGATGAAGGGGAGAAGAGATGTGTGTTTAAATGTTGCAAATATAATCGCTGCCTAAATAATACACTCCTTGCTTATCCGATGATACATTTCACACTGGAGATGAGCCATCTAACAGCCCTCACTATCCTGTCTCACTGTGAACCAAATTTAGGGAAGAGTTTCCATTTTTGTAACTTTTCACAACAAGGCTTCCAGAAATGTGTTGCCTCCATCTGACCTTGGAGCGCCATGGACAGAGTTCATGTGGGGAAGTTTGACCAGCTCTCCCTGCCGTTTGGGGCAGATTTTAAAAACAAGGGGTAAAAGAAAGAACTGCAGAACTGAAAGAGTGAGAAAAGCATATTTCACTTCAGTGCGGTTTGACAATTGGAAAGCCCCATTTCTGCAGCCATGGGACTCACTTAGAAAGGAGGGTGACTGGCCACTCATCTATTCACACAGCACACTTCCTGTCTACTTTTGCTCTGAGTTGTTTTCTTTTTTTAGGAAGGTCTGAAATGGAGTCAAATCTTGAGTTAAGAAAATACTTAGACATTATTTTAAAAAAATAGTTTCTGTTAATGATTTGCAAAACAGTCTCTCTGCTAGAGAGACTCTTGAAAAGAAATGGATGTTGGGAGATGATGCAATCGATCTCAGGAAGCTGTGTTCATGGCAGCACCGAGTCTCCTTGGCTGTAAGGTTTGCTTTGTTTAAGTGATCAGTTCATGAATCGCTTGTGGATGAAAGGACAGTCTACTTATGTCGTCGGGGCAGAGGGCTGTCATGGGCGACTCCTGCCTGCATATGGGCAACTGTGACAAAATAAAAACAGGCACAGCTTATCATACACCACAGGACGCTGTTTAAATACAACAAAACTAATTCAAAAAGGTAATAGTACGAGTTGCTTTCTTTTGGTTTGGTGTTTTGTTTTGTTTTGGTTGGTTTGTGTTTTGTTTTTTTTAACCCAGAAAAGAACTCTTTTTTTTTTTAATAATATTAATGAGCATTTACAGAGATTTTGGATTTTCATTCATTCATTGCTGCACTTCTCTCCCTGCCCATCCCCCCCCCCCAAAGAACTCTTTAGGAACAACTTCACTACACAGATTCTTCTCACACTAGTGGGGGGTGTCTCAGCTCACCAGCAGAACATGAGGATGCCTCAGAATTGTTTGGGTGAAGTGAGTAGACAGGGCAGTTCATTCAGCCTGTTGGATAAGCAGACCTTCATCAGTTTGCGTGGATAACAGGACCTTGAGAGAGAACATTCTGGAAACATGTCCTCTGTTTGCTTTGTGAAAAGGCAGAGGGAAATGTTAAGTGTGATATTGTAGAGTGTCCGAGCGGCTCATGTTTCTTCACACTTTAATTTTCTCTTAGAATTTGGTTTGCGTTTCTGCGTGTGTACGAATCAGGGATGGCTGCCTGTCTGTGACAAGAAGAGCTTTCTCTTCTGATGTTAGTGGTACTTTTCCCAACAAACAGTATGGATTAATGGAAGACATCTGTAGGCTTTTGAAAATATTTGGCATGTACACACTCATGCTGAAATGCAGGAAATAAAGGAATATTACGTTGCCTGTATCTCAGAGAACAAACAGAGCTAATGAAATAATTGGTAAATAGGGAACACGGAGCCTGACACATGTTTGAGATTACACACATGATTCTGTAGAAAATGACTGGAAGCAATACTCATGCCGGAAGAATGGAGCTCAAGCGCTAACACATGGACATCACGTTTCTCGAATCTTTTTGGTGAGAAGTTGCGAAGCTGAGCGATCTTGACTCAAGCAATGGTGGGGTCTCAGGAAGTCATTCTCTCTGCTCCAAGGAAGACCACAGGCCCCAAGCTGAGCTTCATGTGATAATGTATCTACCTGATGGTCGCCAATGGAAGCTGAAACTGTCCTAGGCGTGTCAAGTGTGAAGGACGCTCTGAAGCCCTGAGACGATAACCTCTTGTTCTGCCTTTGGCATCTCAGGGGTGAAAGATGAGACATCCCCCCCCCCCCCCCGAGGTGTGGAGAAGCCCTTGATGTGTTTGGCAGGCAGGAATGACTGTTGCTTCTTCTGCTGCTTCCTTTGAGGTGCTAATGCACAGAATCGCTTCTTGAGAAACTCTCGGGCGGTGTGATACTTCCGCAGACTGCATTAACTAGGGATTTTTTTAAGGGGCACATTCATCAGTAGGTTTCTGAGAAGGCAGAAGGGCGAGATCTTTCACCTGTGATATGTCATCGCCTACTTCTCTTGCAAGCCTTGCCAAGAGGCTCTGGAAGTTGCATTAGATGTTTCTGAATAGGGACAGTCCTTTAAACCCCTTGCAGTTACATGACTGCAGGGTATAGGCTTGGGAACTCTGGGGTCACAGTCCATCCTCACTTTGCTGCCACCCGAAAAGCTGTGCTTCTCTGGTATTTCACATCTACCAGCAGCTCCTCAGGAGAAAGATGAGTTATTTCCTCCCAGTGGTCTCGGAAACCCAAGAGAGGGTCAGCTTTGAGTTTGGAACTGGTTCAGTGGCAATGAGTGAGTGAGGGAATGCATGGGAACCAGCACTGGAGAATAGCCATTCAAAGGGAGTGGCCACCAGATAAGGAGGGATGTTAAATCAGAGAATTATAAGTTATCAGCATCGGAGTCCTTCAACTTTATTACAGAAGCTCTTTTGCAGCTGTTACTAGGGGAAGCTCTGACGCAGTTCAGTCCTGTGACTTCACCCTGGAGCACAGATATTGAGAAGAAAGGATAATTATTAGATACCAAATATAGGGAATTGGAGAAGACCTGGTGCTACAGGCATTAAGGATTTAGCTGCTAACTAAAAGGTTGGTAGTTGGAAAGCACCCAGCACCTCTGCCGGAGGAAAACCTTGCCAGTCTACTTCTGTAAAAGTTACCGCCAACGAGTCCTGTTGGGCTGTTCTGCTCTGTTATCCCCTGCTGTCAGTCTGAATCAAAATCAACTTGGTATCATTTGGGAATAACACCAACAACACAGAGACTAGGAATGGACAGAGGCTGTTTGTGGTTTCCCATCGACTTCCCATCTACCCACAGTGGGCACCAGTAGCCCTTCCGGGTCAAAAGACATGAAAGGCCTCCTCCCAGAGCTCAAGAGCCAGAGTGCGCCCTCTCTCCTTGAGGAACCACCATCTGTGTATGTTGACAGTGTGATCCCCTGTGATTTGGAACTACACACCCTCAGAGTGAATTGGGCATTTAACTTGGTATGGTTATAATAACTATTATTGTTTTATTAGTCTCTAACTGGCCTCCTCTCTAGTGCATTCAATTTCCCATATTTTTAAACCTCAAACCAGCAGTGTTGAAGGAACAGGGCTCCCAAGATTGATTTAGCACAACATGTGCTAAAGATTACCCTGGAATATATATCTGGTCCACGGATTAATCTGGTTTACAAGTTTCACTCCTGATGACATGTTTGCCTGACATGATGCGTTTTGGTATGTGGCTTTTCTAGTAGAAACATTATGTCCTCTTCCCCCCCTGAGGACTTGGTTTCACAGTCATTTTATTATTAGCATAGTCACATAATAGTCACTGCATTTTACAAGCATCTCGAGCCTTCACATAGAGTTGAGTGATGAAGAGGCACCATGACCATAAGAGGACCACGGGCGTTACCCATCAGGGCCACGGCCTCCTCGTAAAGACCACCAACAGAGAACAAGTGAGTGTAAGTTTCCCATTTGTTTCCTGCACATGGTCACAAAGAGCATCTTCCCCCCTCTATTCCTAGAAACCCTCCTTGCCACACATATTAGGAGGAATGCAGCTTTTGGTATGAATTGCACCTCAATGTAGAGAAAACAAAGATTCTTAACCACTGGACCAATAGGCACCATCATGATGGATGGAGAGGAGAGAAGATTGAAACTATCAACAGCTTCATCTTGCTTGGATGCACACCTTGGATGACACCTTTGGTACCAGCAATCAGGAAATAAGGAAACACATTGCACTGGGAAAACCTGCAGTTAAGAACCTCTCCGAGTTATTGAGGAGTAATGATATCAAAGGAGGCTATGATGCCAGGAAGGGTGGAGGGGTCAGCGAAGGAGAGGAAGACCCTCAACCAGGTGGATTGACATGGTGACTGCTGCAGTGGCTCTTTTGTGTCAGGAAGTGTGAGGATGGTGCAGGACAGAACAGGGTTCAGATCTTTAGTTCATAGGGTCGCTATGAGTCGTACTCAACTCGATGGCACGTAACAGCAACAGCAGTGATGTCAGTTTGAGGACTAACATGCATCTGATTCAGGCTATAGACTTTCCAGTCACTTGCTGTGTACCTGAGAGCAAGAGAGTGAAGTGGGATGATAGAAGAAGAATTGATGCCTTTGATCTGTGGTGTTGGAGAAGAGCACTGAGCATCCCATGCATAGCCAAGAGTTTTGAAGAGGGTGCAGCCAGAGTGCTCTTTGGAGGCAAGAGTGATGAGATTTCACCTCATATACTTTGGGTATGTTGCTAGGAGAGGCTATTCCTTGAAAGAGGATACGATGCTGGAAAGGTAGAGGGTCCGTGAAGGAGAGGAAAACCCTCAACCAAGTGGATTGACACGGTGACTACTGCAATGGGTTCTTGTGTGTCAGGAAGTGTGAGGATGGCTCAGGATAGAACAGGCTTCTGATCTTTTGTTCACAGAGTCACTATGAGTCATACCCAACTCGACAGTACCTAACAACAACAACAACGTATTATATCATGGCAGCCCCTAATCAGAGATTTTGCTTTAAAATTTGCCTAGTTGGAGTATTAGAAAGGATCCTTTTTGTTATTTTTATAGATAAATTTCATGTAGTTGTTTTGCTGCTTTTAATCATTTAATAGCAGAAGAGTCTCTCGGACTCCAATCTGAAACAGACATGGAGGATTTTCTGAATGGAAGCCTCTTTCTCTCCATTGGAATGACACTTCTAATACCTCAGATGTCTGCATGGTATTCTCATCCTGAGGTCATGGGTGTACGATACAGGAGTAATGCATTTTCCAAATTCTAACTTCCAGAAGCTAGTCCCCAGACAGTCCCGCTCCTGGTGTTTGATTTAGGGTGTGTTCTGGTGAGAGTTGACATTTCCCTGAAGTTGAGACTAAGCCAGAGTGTGGTCTGCCATGAAGTGAAGGATTGGAATTCCAGCTTTTTCACTCAGTCTTCTGGCCAGCCACAGCCCCTTTGTCCAAACCATCCAGATGATAATTGGGTGACTGGCAGTGTCAAATCCTCCTACAAAATTACACTTCCTCTTAATAATTGCTCGCCTTCCATTCATATTTATGTTACTGCTTTCTCAGAGGCTGATTATTCTTTTCCTTTGAGGAAAGAAAAAAATTTATTTGAGCAAAAAAATCCAAGCTATCAAGCCAAGCTATCTCAAGTAAAGACAGTTGGGAGCACTTGTATAATACATGCTGTGTACGAGGTGACCAGAATTTGTATGCAGAGTAGATACTGTTAAAGTAAAGCCAGAGAGGTGAATTTGGTGATCACACAGTTTAACTAAAAGTATCTTTTGCTAAAAATTACTCCCTTCTCAATGCAAAGAAAAGGAACTAGGCCATTTGAAAATGAAAAATGTCTTTGCTTTCTGATCAAATATATCATTCATAGACATCAAAAGGGAAGCCGTTAAGAGAATGACCCCTTGAGCTTAGCATGTTTGGGGAATCTTGAAAATGTGCCTTCTTCAACATTTCCTGGAACAGAACAAAAGGGATTCCCAGTGAAAGGGTAAACTAACCCCCATAAATGACTTTGAAATCCAAGCCCTTGGGCTTGGAGCTCCAGCTGTTGGTAAAATGGCTTCATGTGAAAAAAGTCTGTTGTTATCAGTAGCTCCTGTGAGTCCGCTTTGTAGTTCTTTGAAACATTTTCATGACACCATGAGGTAAGGAACTGATTCTGTTTTTTATTCTGCTTCCTGACTGTTAGTATCTGCAAACAAGCGCAGAGAAAAAGGTCAATGAGGAAGGTTTGGTGTTTAGAATGTTGCTGAGAAACTAAGAGCTATCCTATCTTGTTTCTTAAGTATAATTCATACCAGAGATGATTTGAGCATTCTTAAAATATTTAAATCTTTGTAAAGGTTTCAATTCTTCTTGTTTGGATTCTTGGAAAACAAAACAAAAAAGAGTAAAATTTCTAATCTTCATTTTGAAATTAAAGAAAGACTCAATCTTTTGAAAATTATTTCTGTAGCACATTTTTATTTATAAGTGAAACTACACCATCTCTTTTGGAGGTAACTCCCTTGTTAGGTAATAGGACTTTTTACAATATGGTTCTGAGTGTTTATTGCAGGATGCTATCCTTTCAAATCAAGCAGATATCACAAATTATTTTGATTGCCAAATGGAATTGTTAGGCAGATAGAAAGGAAAAGACTATGTTGATTGCTAGGAACAAAGAATTCTCAAATACAGTCACCAAACATCATGGAATGTATGCTGAAAGAAAAAATAAAGTTAGTCCTGTCTATATTTTTTTCTCATTTTATTTTAGGGTGTATTTACAGAATTCCCTAATAAAGTCAGTCTTCTTAGTTTTCATACTAGATATAAACTTGGTTTATTTTTTTTGTCTTGTATAAAATTTTTTTAATCTCATGATTTCTAGCAGTGTTCCTTTCCCTAGCCCAGTTTTTAGATGTCCATTCTCATTTCAAAGAATTTAATCATCTGTTTCCTCGTGTGTGTGTGTGTGTGTGTGTACACACACAAAATATTTGCCAATTCAACAGATTGTAAATGTTACAATTAGGTGACATAACCAGTGTTATTTTAATGTTATAAATTTGTGATCGGAAAGCCTTTTCATTTTATGAGAAGGTGATTGTGTTCCCTTCAAACCGTATCCATTCTCGTTTCTGTACTTTAGTAGTTAAAAAGTGAATATGGGTATGAATTTTGTCAACCAAAGAAAGCATATGCCATATTGTTTAACAACTTGGTATGTCCAACATAAAATACATAAAAATAACAGGCATCATTTAAATGAGCTAAGGCAAGGTCTAGAAAATGGAATTTTGCAGGGGAGAATTGAAGAGTCTGGCCACCCAAGAACTGATCCCACTGCTCTTTTACAGACCTGGGCCATGACCATGTACCTTTAGGGTCCTTTTAGTGCAAGGGTTCACTGCATTTGTTAAAAATTATGTACATGTGCAATGAAGTTTTGTTTGGGTTTGCCCATTAAGATTGCCTTTTCCTCTTTCAGAAAATAGTGAAAAACTTCTCCTGGGAGTTTGATGAGTTTTATTTAATTACAGTGTCAATTTGCTAATTTTGAGGCCATCATACAACACAGGAAATGTCTTGGGCACTGTAGGAATACTGAGGGCCTTAGAGAACACTGGCTAGACCATTCTACCACTTACTTACAAAGCACGTTTATATTTTAATATTTATTTATATTATTTAAATAATATTATTACATTTATTAATATTGTTACATTTATTTATATTATTTAAATAATATTTTTATTATTACGTTTGAAACCTATTTGGTCCATCAAGTTGACTTTGAGTTCTGTGCTACAATAGAGATCCCTTTCTTGCCAACACTCTTTATTCATCAGCTTGTAGATAAAAATAACAAGTGTTTAAGGTGATACAGATAAAAGCTTCATGAATATGTTACTTTTTTTATCTCGGCGACTTTAAAGATGATACTTGAAGATGATACTGACTTGTAGCAGCAAACCAGTTCTATTTATTTTTAACAGGAGCACAGATTTAGATAGTAAAGAGCATACGTTGTTTCAAACAAAAAAAAATTTCTTTCTTAGGAAGTCATACTTTTAGATTATTTTTTTATTTATGTTTACTGTGGGTCTCAGAAGGGCACCATATATTACAATAGATCTTGATTTTAAAATTTCTTTGAAAGAAGATGTGACTTACTGGATACAACTATAAGAGAAAATGGTAGTTTGAGAGCTTCTGAGACTTAAACGTGTCCATACTTCTTGGCAGTGAACTTCAGGAGTTGGCCTCCCCTTTCCCCACCCACTGCCTCCTGCCCCTTAAGTAACACCAGGTAACGTAATAGCAACTGAGACACTTTATCTTTAAACCAGGGTGTCAGGTTTCTATTTTATCTGTAAAAAATGTAACATGAATATATTTGACATCTACCTCAGCAAACAAATTAATGCTAATTAAAGATTAATGTGTTGTAATTAGCATTAAAAATGCAATTAAATTGTGAGTAAATGGACCAGGAATAGAAAATTGTGAGATGTCTCACTGCCTGGTTTTCATCTTCTGCCTTTTGTTTCTACAGCCAATCGGGGGAGTGGCGCAGCGGGCGGCTCACAGACTGGAGATGCTCTGGGGAAGGCACTGGCTTCGGTGAGGCGCTGGGGGCTGGGGGCTGTGGGCGCCCCTGTCCCCTGCTCCCCTGCAAGGGCACTTGGAGAAGGGGGTGCTTTAATCCCAAGTAGACATTTGGAATTTTATGAAATGAATGGCAGATAGCTTTGGGTTTTGGTTGGATTGTGTTGTGTTGTGTTGTGTTGTGTTGTGTTTTGTTTTGTTTTTAATAACTGCAAACTTTCTTGCATAATGATCAAGGCTGAGCTCCTTCTGGTCTCCACAGGATGGTGTTAGGCAATGATTATGAGCCGCTGCACATTCTTAGGGCCTTCCTTATGACAAGCTTAGGCTTCCTAGCTTGAATTCTGAATTCCCTGTTCTGCTTTCCTATCTGTATGGGGCTTGCTAAAGAGTTTAAGATTGATTTTACAAAGGGCTTTCTGAAACACTTTAGAAAAGACATTTGAGGAGGTCAAACTGGCAAAGACTGTGGACCTTGTAGAACTCGTCCCATAGTAGACACCCAAGAGATTAGCGTCTGTGCTCTGCAGACCTGCCAGAAAGCACACTGTTGAATAGTTGTTGTTCACCATGAGGAGTTTGGGGATGGGCTGGCACATCTTCTATGTCTGGGACACACACCTGGTATTTTCTTTAAAAGCCAAGCGTGTTTGTTGACAAGTGGAGCCCCATTGCTGTGACACCCCTTCTTAGGTTGAATTTTCCCATGGGGGCATAAAGCAGATTGAAATTTCTACTAGTGTTGTGCCCTCAATTAAATAAAGGTTTTATTTGACCCAACTCTTCTAATGGCCTGCGATCAATTAATGGTAGTTTTAAACTGTCGTGGAGAAAGAATTGAACAAAAGTCTTAGGGATGTCACCCTTCACACTCATTTGTGGATGAAAATAGTCAAGTTCAGAGACTCTCATTGGCTTTGCCGGGGCTGCACAGCCGGCTGATGTCAGCGAAGAATTTCACTAAATCCTGTGGTCCTTCAGTCTGATGCTTTTCCACAATTCTATGCCACCACCATAATTTTTCTTGTGAAAATTTAAGTACTTTTAAGGTTTCCTTTGTAGAATAGTACTGATTGGCTTTTTTTTTTTTGTAGCCTGTAATTTTAAATGAATTTTAGTAGTAACACCTTATATTTTTTTAAAAGAAATGTGTTCATTGTTTATTCTTAATGAATGAGATTTTTTTTTTCTCCCCACTGTTTTAAGATCTATTCTCCAGATCATACTAACAACAGCTTTTCATCCAACCCTTCAACTCCTGTTGGCTCTCCTCCTTCACTCTCAGGTACTGCACTTGAAATACCATCACATTATGTTAACAGCTTTCAAAAATTATTAGACTTCCTGATCCAGTGAGCGACACTCCCCCCTCAAACTCTAAAATACAACTTCCCCATACAGAAAAACACGAAGAGATGAGAGAGGCCTTATGAAAGAACAGCTATTCATATCCAAGAGTAGAGTACACAGCTTAGAAAAAGCATAGCATTCCTTGATTATTGAGAACACATCCTTGAAATGAATGGCATACTCCAGTAAAGCATCTCAGATAACAACAGTCATGGCATAGAAGAAAAAAAAAATAGCCTGCTCAGGAAGACCGTTACCTATGGAAATCTTTAAAAAATGGTTGCCAGTCTCTGTTCAAAATAAGAGAAAGAGTCTAACACCAGAGGTCTAAGTGTGGGACCCAAGGTAGCAAGCAGCTGATGACCAAGTCTGAGGAGCTGGAACTCCAGGATCCCAGCTTGAAATAGAGCAGCTCTAATTTCACCTCATATGTGGTTGGGAAATTATTCAGTAAAGCTGAAGCAGTCAGTCTAGTCAGATACCCTGATTTTGCAGGAGTACACAGATCCAGAAATACCCTGAGCACAAAGGTTCCATCAGCATCGGTAGAGAACCTTCTACTGTTTCACTTCTGGGTTAGGTACGAGCGAGGAAGGTGATGATGTCAAGAGCATTTCAGAAAATGCCACAAAATACCTAAAAAGCTGAGCAGCGTTCTTTGGGGGCAGACACAGAAATCAGACTGGAGCCCGCCACCTTCCACAGGGACCACACGTTTGGAAGAAAGAACTCTCAGGAAGATGTAAATATGCGGACAGATTGCTGTGTTCACACTGATGGCTCTGTCCAAATTCTGTCACTAAAAGTAATTGAACAAAATATCCTATTTTTATTTAATATAAAAATATACTCATTTGCACACCCAGAAGAGACAGGAAGAATAGATTTTAAGACTGTTCAAACTCTGGGGCGGGGAGGGAGAGATATTTCACTGACAGCGTAGATAATATTTTTCTCTTATTTTTTTGGAATTATGTATTTTCTAAGTTTTCAACACTGAATGTATATGATTTTAAATTTAAATTTTTTTCTTTTGTAAGTTACATATGTAAAATGTATCATGACAAGAATCTTCCTGTCAAGTCTTAGTGAATCAGAAATTATATATATATATATATATATATATTTTTTTTTTCTGCTTTGGGAGAATCTAGTTAATTATTACTGTTGCATTAAGATTTTTAAAGTACTGGTTTGGTAGATTATTGGAACCTAATTGTTAATTTGATGCTGTTTATAAGAATTATTTTGATGCTGTTTTGTTTTATAAGAATCATTTGTAAAATTATTAGTAAGGCCCTTTTCCATTGGTGGGAGAATTTTCGTTTAACATAAACCTGCCTTGCATGAAAGTCTTAAAAAAAACCCTGAACCACTCTTGAAAGCACCAGTTCTCTACAGCTGATAGCTTTCCTTCAACAGGAACACTTCTCCCTCAAATTCGGAATAGATTAACCAGGAGGCAACCTGAGAGAATTCTGAATCTTAGTACAATCTCTGTAAAATCTCCGTGTGGAACATTTGTTTTTGTAGGGTACGCTTTATTGTCTATATGGAGACCATCATTGCTGTTTCGGGGGGGTGGGGAGGACTATCTGAAATATTGGGGAGTTTATGTTTAAGATCCTACAGATCCAGAAGTAATCCCCGTTTTCTCACCCATCAGCAGGCACAGCTGTTTGGTCCAGAAACGGAGGACAGGCCTCATCATCTCCTAATTACGAAGGACCCTTACATTCTTTGGTATGTCTCCTCTGCTCTTGCTACTCTCTTCATCTTCAATCATGTTTTTCAGTTTCCGACTACTTCACTCTGAAGGATTCTAATTTCCCCTGTTACTAACTTTAGATTCACGTTAGACATGCACGTTGGGCTGGAGGCAGAGTTGTTAGGTTCTGATTGTTCCTGTTTATAGATTATAACCCACGTCCTGCAGTGGAAACTCCAGATTGCTGAATAGTTAGCACCAGGTAAGAGATTGGAAGCACTAGAAGGATGTTGGCCTCTTGTGCAACTTTGAGAACAGCCCCTAGGTCTCCAGACAACTGCATGACTGGAAAAACTCATGATTGTCTATACTTCTGCTTTGCTTTCCTGAAGAACGGGTGTAGAGGAGATTCTCTCTTGACCCATAAATGAGAAGTTCACTTCAGTTCTCAAAGATACCCAGTAATGTCATGGACAGTTAAGACAGTTACTTTTCCAATTGAAAATGTCCACGAGTGTAATTTGCAGTAGAAGTATTTACATGGTGATTCAGTGTCTGATACTCTCGCTATTTCTCAATTCAGGCTAGATAGGGCTGGAGTAATGCATGAAGAAGCCCTCTCTGTGATATTTAGTCTGTATATAAATAAAGTGGGAAGATGACAGCAAATGGGGTGAACCTTCCAGTTCTTCAGTGTTGAATGTCCCTCCATATATTGAGGTGGGACCTGGAAGGAAGGGATAGATACATCTGTCTCACTTGATGTTGCCTCATCGCCAGTCGGGATTCCTTTCCTCCTCTTCAGCCTGTTGCTAAAGATGAGGTTAAAAGTTTAAAGGTGGATTCCCACTCTCCTGTGTCCTTCCTTGCTGTTGTATGTGTATGACCTAGCGCTGCATTTTAGTAATGAAACAGCACAGGGAGACAGCACATCCACTACCCTTCATCTGCAGACTATATCCAGATAATCTATAGTTGTTTTAAGAGTTTACCTCCACCCCCAAAACCCATCTGCCACGCCAGCTTTGTTTAGCACTCTAACTGTAAAAACCTGGTTTACACCTGTGACCTGTCATGCCACTTCCCTCTGAATCCCAAGCTTTTGGTGGAGAGGGTTAAAAGTCTTAAGATAAATTAATAATAATAACACTTATGTTTGGAAGCTTTTGTATTACCATCCCTGCTTTTCTAGAAGTGTAGACGAAGGGGAGCTGAGTAACTTTTCAACCTGAAACAAATAGCAGAGCTAAGATTCTAGGGAAGTCATTCACGTAATGCCCAAACGTATCAAATCCAAACACCCTGGACCATAGACTAACTGTATTAGACACACATTCTTCCTGTTGGTTGAGGAGTTACAAGTTGTTTTTCTCATGCAGTCGAGCCAGCCGGTGCATCTGTTCTCACTGCCCATCGGAAATGAGTGGGCTGTGTCCTGATGCAGTAAAAAGAAGCAGTAGACTCCAAGTTAAAAGACCTCGAGTCCAGCCCTGACTTTGCCATTACCTGCAGAGTGACACTGAGGACGACACTTACTGTCTGAGTTTCATTTTCCCATCAGTGTGGAAGGGGTGGGGGGAGCCAGGTGATGTCTTCTCTGCCTGCCTCACTAGGACCCCAAATGATGGTGCCTTTTAGATATACACTGGAGGGTGATATCCAGATGATTGATTATCTGATAGAATTACTGATCACACTAAAGGAATAAAGACATCCATATGTTCTTTTTCTTCAGTCAAAACTTAAAGCATAAACAATATCTATTCTGCCATCTCCTCCCACCCCAGAAAAGGATGGGTTGGTTGATTTTTTAGCCAGGGACAGTAGTAGCACATTCTAAAATGTATTGCAGGTTTTATAATCAATTAGAAGCTCATCAGTTGAAGTATTGATTAAAGTCTTTCTGTCTCCTCTTCTGCCTTCTCATCTCTTACCAATATAGTTGTTAGAATTTTTTGTCATCCCCCCAGCCCATGAACTATGTTAGATTACAGTATTTCGAGTACATACATGTACACACACACACACACACACACACACACACACAGTGCTGCTATTGTTAAGCGATAAAAAACAAACAAAGATAAAAATTGGAAGTATTCAAAATATTATGATCTGCATCTAAGTACTTGTCCTTGGTTTTTACTTAGCCCTGCACCTTCTGCCAGAGGGCAAAACAAGGAAATAAGTCTTCAAGAAGAATTTAATTGAGAACCTATTCATAGGACATGTTTGAATTGTTAATTTTTGAGCCATTTAACCAATGCCTGACAGTGTTCCTTAGAGTCAGTGAATGTTTTTCCTTTTCCAAAGTAAACCTAAGTTCTATTTAAAGCTAATACGAAACAGTAGATAGCATAGGCACGTTATAGTATCTTTGAAGCCTTACAAAATTTACTTTGCTAAGAAAAATAACATTATTATTATAATATGAATATTACCCACCTGTTTTCTAAGAAGAAAACAGCATTATTTTTCCAAGGAAATAAACTTAAATGAAAACATATTCAGAAACTTTGCTACCTTCCTACAAAGTAGTGATTTTTTTTTTTTTTTTTTTAATTTTTTTTTTATTTGTGTGTGTGTGTGTACCATCAAATCAGATCTGACTGGTACAGGAGGAGATTGTTCCTCCTTCTCCAGCAGAGCATCTGGTGGATTTGAACCGTGCACCTCTGGGATTGCCATACACCTTCTTGCCACTAGGCCACCAGAGCTCGCCAGAGTAGTGATTCTTAACAACCTGAATTGTACTCGTGTAATCCCTGACTACATTTCAAACCAAGTTGAAGTTTCACCTTTATTTATGAACCAACAGCAAAGCAGAATCGAAGACCGCTTAGAGAGACTGGACGATGCTATCCATGTTCTCCGGAATCATGCTGTGGGTCCTTCCACAGCAATGCCTGGTGGTCATGGGGACATGCATGGAATCATCGGACCGTCTCATAATGGAGCGATGGGCGGTCTGGGCTCAGGGTATGGAACTGGTCTTCTATCAGCCAACCGACATTCACTCATGGTAAGTGATGAAATCTGTAGACTCTAGTATCATGTAGAATTAGAATTTTATATATAAATATGGCTACTTTTTTTTTAAAAAAAAATTGGTTTCTTGAGAGATCATTCACGTAATTTATGATCCATCCATTTAAATTGTACAAGTCAGTGTTTTCCTTCTTATTCATATGTTCGGTCAAATTTTAGACGATTATTGTCCCCTCTCCAAGAGAAACCTTGTACTGTTTGTGTTGATCCCCATTTCCTCACACACTTCACCTGGCAGACTCTAAGCTCTTGTGTGTTTCTGTAAGTTTACCTTTTCTAGATGTGTGCAAATAGAATAATATATATTTGGTCTTTTGTGACTGCCTTTTTTCAACGTTGTCAAGGTTTAAATCCATGTTGCAGTTGATCAGAACTTTTTCCCCTTTTTGTCCAGTAATCCATCAAGGATAGACACTACATTTACCTGCTTGTCAGGTGAGGGATATATGGATTGTTCCCACCCTTTAGCTTCTAGGAATAAGCCTTGGGAGCATCCAAGTGCAAGTTTAGGATGAACACAGGTTCCGTTTCACTCAAGTATATATACCTGGGAGTGAAATTGCTAAGTTATTGTCGATGTTTTTACTTACTCTTGTGCATGACCGGTGCTAAAGGACTCAGATTATACTCATGCTATACTTTTGGCATTTTGGATATGACTGACTTGGTTTTTTGTCTCATTTATTAAAGTAGCCAATCAGTGTCTCTATTCTGAGTATGGGAAGCGGAAGTATGGGATCTGTTTAAATGAATACATGGTATGAGGCTGTGTTTTAATGTACATCATAGTTTTGCCACTACCAGCAACGAATTTTTATTTAATAGTTAAGTAAATGTGTGTATATCACATTGGGACTTTAGATTATTACCATTACCTTTGGAGAAAATCCTGGTTTTGGATAATTTTTGAAGATACAGAGACGCTTCTTAGCAAACTGCTGTGTGGTGACAGATGATGGGGTGACCCCAGAGGTAGGGATTTAAACATTACTAGTGATTTACTCTGGGAATAAATCATAGTTTTCCTAGGGAGCTCTGATGGCCTATTAACAAGAAGCTGCACTGCAAACCCAAAGACACACAGTTCAAGTCCACCGGCTGTCACAGAAGGATGGGCAAAACTCCTCCCAGGCAATTAACTGTCTCTGAAAACCCACTGAAGGGTCAACTGTGGGTCAGCTCCAACACCACGCCACACAACACTAACGAACTTACTCCGCCGGTAACTTCCTAGGAGAAAGATGGGCAGTCTCCTCCAGTGTGATTTACAGCCTCAGAAACCCAGTGGAGGGTCAGCTGTGAACCACTTCTGACCCATTGGCAATGGAAGAGTGATTTACTCAGTGGCAGTGGGAGTGACTCTGTACCACTTCTTTAAAAACCCATGCCTCATCAGGCAGATTGCTTAGAAACAGTATCGTTTAAACATAGTTAAAAACCTTTCTGTCCTGTCTTCTATCTTCTCTTTTTGTGGCTGTTAAGTGCCCTCGAGTCCCCTGTATGAGTAGGTCTGCCCCAGAGGGTTTTCTTGGCTGATCTTTACAGGAGATCTCTACTGGCTTGGTGAGAACCCTCTCTGAGGGTTCGAACTGCCAACTTTGCACCTGGCAGTTGGTGACTTTACCACTGCACCACCAAGGCACCTTGCTGATAGACTCTTCCTCCCGTTGACCACTCCTGCTTAAAGATCGTTCCACCAGAAGACTCCAGAATGAACACAAGTCATCCAAAGATTCTGGAAGTGTCTAGTCACCAGTATTCTTCTGTCCCTTGGATTTCTCTTAATAAAAGGCTACAAGTAGGAGTCCCATTTCACATGGTGGATTATTGAAACCCACAACCAATTTGAAACCAAAAATACTGGTTTATAAATAGAAGCAGTGAACTCACTTCTAAAATGTGGAAAAATATTTCTGAATACCAAGCTAAATCTAGTTTTCTTTTTTTCCCTTTCCCTTGACCTCTCCCCTGAAAATTCATCATTGAGTAAAAGTGTTTGTCTGTTCATGGCAGTTGCTAAGAGTTTACAAAAAGGAAAGTCTAAATTTTAATTTAGCTTGGCCTCAGGTAATGTGTTAAATACACTTGGGATGCATATAATATGAGATTTCAGTTTGTACAGCGCCTTTTTTTTAAACTACAATGTTTAAACAATACTGCTTTTAATTAAGAAATCTGGCTTTATTAAAAGCCAGATCTGTGACTTATAACCATTTCTGTATATCTGCTCTCAATCAAGAGAAAAATAGTTTAATTTCTGTAGCTGTGTTTATTTTGCATATGTTAAACGATGCACATGCACCCAGGGCAATGCTTCAGAGACAAGATTTTTTTTTTCCATAAATATGTAAAGTTTGCTCTTAAATACCAGATGTAGGTTAAGTGCTTTTTTAAAAAAATATTAAACTATACAATAGACGCTTTTTGGAAAGGTTTGACCTTTGAGCTGCCTCCTTTTTTTGAGTGTGATTCTGAGTTGTGTTAAGAGGAGACTGGACTCCTTTTTGGAGATGTGGGGTGGCAGAGACAGGGATTGGCCAAGTTGGAGTTGTAGGGGAGAGAATGGGCTGGAGCCGTCGCAAAAGGAGATAATTGGTCAATGTTATACAGAAATGCCGTTGACTTGCTTGATGGCTGAGATTGGGGGATCAGTTGTGTAGAAATAAGACAAAACTAAAGCTACTTTTGCTTATGAGGAAAAGATGCAGTTCGCTCCTCTGCCAACATTTAAAAATCCATTTAGGACAGCTCAGTGCTGACTGGCAGCCCTGGTGGCCTTGTGAAGCTGCACTACTAGTCCAAGGGCAGGCAGTTCAAGTCCTCCAGCTGCTCCAGAGAGGGTATATGGACTGTCTCCTCCCATGAGATTGTCGGCCTCTGAAAACCTGCTGGAGGGTTGGCCATGAGTTCAGTTTCCACTCGATGGTGTTGAGTTTACATGCCCCCAAAGGAGCCTTGGTGGCATAGTACATTGTGTCCTGGGCTGCTAACTAGAAAAGTCAAGGGCTTGAGTCCTCTGGAGAATGTTGGGAATTTATCCTATGCAGAAACTCAGTGCCACCAAGAGTCAAAATTGACTTCATGACATAAGTTTTTGTTTTATCTTGATTTTTAAGAATCAAGGTTGAACCACACCAGCAACAGCTGAATTGCAAAGATGTAGCATATTGATAACCTGCTTCCCCAAACCCCACAGCCATTTGCAGTCTTTATCCTTTGCCCTTAACTTTGGTCCATTGAGTCTAAAGACCCCCTGGTTGGCTAGTCTTACTGTCCACCAAAGAGACAGGATTGGAATTCCTTCTCTTATGCAAACTGGTATAAATTTAAAACAAAAGCTTTAAGAACAAAGGAAATAGCTTTTGCATTTAGTCAGGCTGAAGTTAGCCTTTGACCATTTGATACATTCCACAATAAAAAGGAAGTGGAGGGGGAGGGGGGGAAAGGCCCACCTCCTTCTCCCAACAACAAAAATTCAAGGAGGATGCTGGTAATGTTTTCCACATTTGAATTTTAATACATGAAACAGGCTCTAAAGCGCTGGCCAGCTGCAGTAAATAAAGTAGCAGTGGGAGGTATGCCCGCCCCCAACCTAGCCCAGGACACTGATGGAAGCACCTTGCCCCAAGCACACCTTCCATTGTTGTTGGGAGTGAACGTAACTTGAGACGCTTCAGAGAGCTGATTTGGGTTTTAGCAAATTTCCTTCAGAAAGCTCCTTAATAAGTCTTTCTGATGAAAGAATAGACAGCTTTGAATCTCCTTGACCTCAGCCATCTTCTGGTTTCCTCTCTCCCGCCTTCTAAAAAAGCAAAACAAAATGACTTGATGATTTGGAAGATGATAGAAGAGTTTCTCTCCGCAGCAGCTTGAACTTGCAGTGGGGAAAACTGTGGTTCTGCCTCGGCTGTTATGTTATCTCATTTAATTGCTAACATATTGTACTTAGCTTTTGATTCATAAAATGTTTTCCTTGGAGTTCTGAAGTAGGTCTTCGGTGATTTACTAAGTATTAGTATAATGAAAGAGATTTTTTTTTTCACAGCCGCACGGTTCAGAACACTAGAGTGATCATTGTATACTTGCAAGCTTTCTAGATTTTACTATTTGGACATTCTTCTTTCCTGCCCAGAAACCTTCCCCACCTTTCCATTCTCTAAGAAGTAAAAACCAATTTATTGGTCCCACATTTAAGCCCATTATCATTCACCAAAGTGGCCTATTAGGAAGTAAGAAGCTGTACTGCAGTCCCAAAGACACGCAGTTTGAATCCATCAGCTGCTTCATGGGAAGCATAGGCAGTCTCCTCCCGTGTGATTAACTGCCTCTGAAAACCAGCTGGAGGGTCAGCTATGGATTGGTTTCAACTTGACAGCACACAAACACCATCAGCACCATCTACCGAAAGCTTTCTGTTAAATCATTCCAGCGGGCAACAATAGGCGCTCTGGTGGCCTAGAGTTAGAGAGCTCTCTGTGACAGTTTACATCCACCATCAATGTGCCAGGAAAAATGTTCAGCCTCCAAAAACCCACTGCAAGAGCCACCAGGCCTCAGTTCTAACTTGAGAGCTCTAAGTTTTGTGTTGTTGCTTTATGGATAATGCGGTCTCCTACAAACCAACTGAATAACGCACTTCGGTCGAGTGAGAACCCACTCAGGGCTGTCCCACTCAGAGACTTGCAGAGGCCCTCAGTTGCATGGGAAGAGATTGCCCACCTTTGTCCCATGAAGCAACTGGTGGATTTGCTGTCTGCTTTTTCTGAATGACATAGTCACTTCTGAGATGCTTCTGGTGGGCTTGACTCTCCAACCTTTCCATTGGCAGCTCAGCACTTGGACTGTTGTCACCACTGAGGGACTTCCCTTGAATTGGGCCATTGGCCGCATCGCTTACCTACCTCTGCGTCATGACATCTCTTTTGAGGTTAGAGCTCTGCCCTTTAGTGGTTGTGAGCTCTGCCTTGCCAACTA